TATTCAATTTAATGCAATTAATAATAATAATTGCATCAAATTAGGAAACTTAATATTTCTGGAAATATAATCGAGCTCCATAAATATAAATAAAATACTGGGCGTTACATATAGTGTGTTGTTTTAAATGAAGAAGGAGGGCCGTTAGCGCGCCTTTAATCACAATTATTGCGAAGTACCAAGGCGTCAACGGGGGGTATTAGCAAACTATTATGAAGAATCAAGACGGTTGGCACGAGTTCGACGCAAATCACGGTATCGAGATACACGATCTTCATCAGTTGGTCGCGACGTGTTCGTAGGTGACATGGTCAACCTTACTTCTATTTCCTCTGACCTTCTTTGAAGCTGCAGTTGTTGCACAACTGACTCCAGCTGGTTGGGCGCCCGATTTCGGGCAACGGCCTCTGTCAGAATCATGTCCAACTCTGCCACTGTGAGTTGAATAACCTAGTCTCTTCTAGAGACCTCATGTTCCCTAGGATTGATTGTCCTTCAACATATTCCTGGGGTCGATCCACCACTAGATTTCCTTGTTGCTAAATTTTAGAATCTTAAGATACTGTTTGCCCCTGTGTCACACAGACTCTTGTCCCTTGTTGGACAATTACCGGCTTTTTCCTCATTGACGGTTTTTCAGATGTATTTTCCACTGGGGTCAGCATTGTGCTAGGCAATGGCAACGTCTCATGTGGCGTGATGAGTACTCTAGTCGGCTGTAACCAGCCTATTAGAGGTCATGTTCCTAGTTTCGAGACACCCAAGCTTCATCCAGTTCCTTAGTGATTGGTCGGAAAAAGTGTCTATTTTATATATTTATTAGCGTGTTTTTATGCTTAATTTTATTGCACTTATATATTTTTTTTGAGTCATTTATTTATTAGATGAATTTAAGTGCTATGATATATTTATGGTTTATTTTCAAAATATTGAATTATTTTTGTGGGCTTGTAGATCGTACTCAATTATCAGCCTAACTTAGACGCCCAAACGTTAAAGAAATAAATAAAATAGCCATCATGTGTTGGGAAAGGGCCCATCAATTGTTGCTGAATGTTACAAATAATTGGTCATTAGCCATTACATGACATTTGGGTTAATCACGTGTGTGTTTGGGAGACATGGAAGATTTGGTGGGCTAAGAGCCCAATTAATGGAAATTAATTAGAGCACTCATGTATTACTAGGGACCTGGCGCAAAAGACAGAGAGGAGAATTATTCACGCAGAAACAGAAAAGCCAGCCGCCAGGCATAAGCGGGGAGCAGAGGACATACGCAAGAAGAAATACGGAGAAGCCGGCAATCGCGGTGGGAGGCCGCACCCATACACGAGGGAGATAATTAATCTCTTTCTTTTATTTTTTTATTTTTATTTATTATGTTAGAGTAGTTTTATTTCTAGTTTCGGTGATGTCGAACCCTACGTACTTGATGATGTTTGATTGATTTACATGGTTGATTATGGAGTCATCTTTTTGGAATTGTTTGTGTTATTTTGAATAATTAACCATGATGTGTTTAGTCTTGTTTAGTTTGATCACCTAGATTAGGCTTTGCATATCTACATCTGAAGTGGACCTTCAATCCGTAATTGTTGTTGTGTTTAATTCCTAAGAGGTAACCGGAAGATGGTAACTACCGGGGATAACACGGCCTATTTAAGTGAACGAACGCGGTTGAGTTCACTACTTAGTCTAGCCTATTTTTCTAAATCGTAAAGCGGCTAATTGAATTAAATTTAGGAAGCGTTTCCTAGACTGTTCAAGAGGTCAGATTTAATCGTAGAGCGTCTCGCGGTTAGATTAAAAATAAGGAAAAATTCGGGTAACAGACCGTGTCGTTACCTAGGGCTAGTAATTTCATAATATAGCGAGATTTGATGCCAGAATTGATTAGACGTGTCAGTCGAGGGTGTAGACGGAACCTTGAACTAGAAATTTCTCCTAATTTATTTATTGTTATTTTTATTTTATTAGTTTAGATTTTATTTGCTTTAGTTAATTTAGTTCTTAAAATCAAAACCCCACTCTATTATTGCTTTTATATTTCAATTAATACGAGAAAATTCACGATTCGATTCACACTCCCTGTGGGATCGACCCTTGCTCGCCACTAGTACTAGTTAGTAGAGGTTAGTCGAGGAAAATATAAATTTTAATTTTGCCGCGTTGCGACGCGCGGTCACTTAGTTAGATCATTTTTTGAGTTATTTATTGTCACCATCTTCCAAACTTAAATAAACTTCTTGTAAGAAATCATTTTGCCCTTTATAGCCAGTAAAAGACTGAATTCTTTCCACAAACGATGCCAATTTGATGTGTCAAATTGTCACATATCGGCTTGAACTGGCAAACCCACGAACGTTCCTTTGCTTCGAGCTTTGATAACCTGCAATGCGCCCGAAAAGGGGTCCCGGTAGATAACCTTCGATTCCCAAGTCAGTATTTGCTCGTGAGAATAAACTGGCAAAGATATATGTTGAATACGTGAATATGAGATAATCATTAACGTAGAACCTATTACCCATATATTGTTTAGATTCATTGATGCTCAAGAGAGTCCTTGTTGAGAAAAAAATCCAACCAGATCTACTTTATTGCTCATCATGTCTATCTAGACAACTCTTCTTAGCAAGAAAAACTTTCTTGGGACTTTCTACAGTCAAGTAACCCTTGTACCTACTTAACATCAGGTACCACTTGATATCACCATTAGATTGACTTAGAAATCAATATCAACCATTAGATTCAAGGTACAAGATGGTACAAGGAAACAAAGAATGTTGGTCACCTTGTACTTGGTCTCGTACCCCTCGTACTTGCAAAAACCTATAATACCCTTATTCATTAAAAATTAAAAATTTAAATTAATAACTTATAAAATAATAATTGTATTTATTTTGAAAGCCTTACATTTATATTATTGTATAACAATACTTTAAGTACAAAAATCATCACAACCTTAATTTAAATTAAAAATTAATATTCCAAAAATCAAAATCAACATCTCCTTCCTCCTAACCCTCTGCGGGCCCAATCCCAAAACCCTCCCACACCCGTCGCCCCGCCGCCGACCTCCGACGCCCGCGTCGGAGTATTCCTCTCTTATGCTTACAAAGGCGGAATGTTCTTCCCATTTAACTGGATCTGGAAACGGGTATCGAGACGGCGAAGATTTGTCCCCAGTTTGGAGCTGTCCCGCTGGATGTACCTGTGCCTGCAAATATCGCTCTGGTGAATTTAACTGACTGTGACTCATGTTATGTCATTAAGTTGCATGAATCCTTGTTTGAGATTTCTTTGTTGCAATCAATTTTGTTCTGCCTCATAACGGCATGACTGCCCCCTCTGCATCCGCTCGCAAGGCGTTGAGCAAGATCGCGTGCAATCGGCTGAAGAAAGAGTTGGTCGAGTGGCAGGTGAACCCGCCGGCGGGTTTCAAGCACAAAGTCACTGATAATCTTCAAAGATGGGTGATTGAGGTCAACGGTGCCCCAGGTACCCTTTACGCAGGGGAGACTTACCAGCTTCAGGTCGATTTTCCGAAGCATTACCCGATGGAGGCACCGCAGGTTATATTTGTTCCTCCAGCTCCTCCACATCCTCACATTTATAGTAATGGCCATATATGTTTAGGTGTGTATCTCGTGCCCTCTCGATTGTTTCTTTACCTTGAATATAAGATGTGGTTGTGTATTTTGGAGGACAGTGCGATATTTTTACTTCTGTTGTTACGTAGAGGTTGTTATCCGAATGATCTTATTGCTAAATAGCTTGTGGTAAAGTGTTATATGAATGAAATGAGATTGAATTAGTAGATAGAATAAGAAAACATGTTTTTGGGTGTCAGATGAGTTAAGTTTTAGTGATTTAGATTTCTCCCTTATCGAGAGTTTTTACGATTGAGGGAGGAATATAAATTTCTGAAATGGATAGTTGTTTATGCTTTTGTGCACTCAGTGGCTAAAAAGCAGTATCCTTTACAAAAAATTGTAAGAATTGGGGCTAGTATCAGTAGTTTGTATGTTGTCTGAAGGTAAATGGTTGGAATCTACTAATAAATGAGGTGGCACAAATCAAACTNNNACAAATCAAAAAAAAAAAAAAAAATGATGTTATTTTGTGGTTGGTTGTCAATTTTTCATTGCCTATAAATCAGCTCTTGTTGGAGAAAAAGATATCAATACTACTCTGAATGCATTGTTATTTTTTTCTTAAATTATGAGAATAAAATTTTAATGTATTAAATATTTTATTTATTGATAATATCTTAAGATTCTTAACTGACTTATGATTTTCTTAATAAATTGAGAGTTTATTTGCGCATAAATATCCTATCAAATAAGATAAATGTTTCAGTAATATTTATTTAATTCTTAAAATGAACATTTCAACTTATAAGATTAACATGTTATGTTATGAGATGAATATGTTTTATTATCAGCTGAATATATTAAATTATAAGATGAACATGTTACTTTCTCATATGAATATGTTTATAAACACGATGAATATTTTGATTTTGTACATGATGGATAAGTTGATTTTGTACGTAATATGTTTCTTTACATGATAATATGTTTCATTGTAAAATGAACATGTCAAATTATAAGATGAAGATGTTATGTTATAAGATGAATATATTTTATTATCATATGAATATGTTAAATTATAAGGTGAACATGTTTCTTTCTCATATGAATATGTTTCTTAACACGATGAATATATTGATTTTGTTCAAGATGAATATGTTTCTTAACATGATCAAACTCAGTAATATTTTAAATAATAAGACTTAAAATATTTGAACTTTGTCATTCAATAATTAACTATATCATGATATTTTAATTATTATCACTTTATTTGAGTCACTTATTTTCAAGATGGCCGCTAAATAAATTGTGAGAATAAAAATTTAATGTATTAAATATTTTATTTATTGTTAATATATTAATATTCTTAACTGATTTATGATTTTCTTAATAAGTTGAGAGTTTATTTGCGCATAACTATCCTATCAAATAAGATAAATGTTTCAGTAATATTTATTTAATTTGTAAAATGAACATGTCAACTTATAAGATGAACATGTTATGTTCCGAGATGAATATGTTTTATTATCAGCTGAATATATTAAATTATAAGATGAACATGTTTCTTTCTCAGATGAACATGTTTATAAACACGATGAATATGTTGATTTTGTACGTAATATGTTTCTTTACATGATAATATGTTTCATTGTAAAATGAACATGTCAAATTATAAGATGAAGATGTTATGTTATAAGATGAATATATTTTATTATCATATGAATATGTTAAATTATTAGATGAACATGTTTCTTTCTCATATGAATATGTTTCATAACGCGATGAATATATTGATTTTGTTCAAGATGAATATGTTTCTTAACATGATCAAGCTCAGTAATATTTTAAATATTAAGACTTAAAATATTTGAACTTTGTCATTCAATAATTAACTATATCATGATATTTTAATTATTATCACTTTATTTGAGTAACTGATTTTCAAGATGGCCGCTAAATAAATTGTGAG